AAATTTCAGCTTTCTAGCTTTTCTGCTTCTCGAGTTAGCGGTTTTCCCGCCAAAATTTTAACCCCCTCGTACGCGGGGCCTGGGCGTGCCTGAGGGTTGGTACCGCGGTCCTGGGGTGGAGCTTGGCCGGGGAATCTAATCGCAAAATTTTGACGCCGGAGCTTGCTTGGGTGCCGAGTTGAAATACCCGGACAAACGCACACACACACACACATACACACACACACACCGGAGTCGTCGCAGTATGCGTTTTCGCATTTGCATATTATGCAAAAACGCATAATTAAAACAGGCATGCTTGAAACGTGCTTGAAACCTAAGCCAGCTTCATATTCAAGCCTCAATAAGACTTATTAGCAGTGAGATCAAAAGTAGGTACTCCTGTTTCTTCAGAGCAGATGCATATAGAAATGGAATTACTAGTTTTCAAAGCCCCAAATTTTATGCATTCAAAAAATTGGTGTTTCAGATACGGCACGTTGCTTTTCGTGCATGTCGCGACTATACGAATCAGTTTGGCCGGCGCTTTCTGCCATCTACAGGAGGCCGAAGAATTTCACGGATAGATGTAATGATGAAGATCTCGATCCCCGACACGTCCCTTTCACTTACTGCCCAACAATCTGCATACGAATGTGGGAAGAGCCTACAGTTGCTGGTTGCTAACTTATGCATTTCCTTAATGCATTATGGCGAATCACGCCTTTCTGAATGTGTGTGTTCGTTTTCTGCGTGGGAATGACTAAAGCTATAATTTAAAATTTAGTGAGTCGCGCCGTGAATCCAAATGCGAGGTGAGTTCATAACGTGAAGGCACAGGAAGCTAAGAATTCCATAATTTTGTGCTTCTTGCACGCCACATAGACTGAAAAGCCATCACGACAAAGACACATGTGCGCTAATTTATTCACCAGTCGGTCACTCCTTGCAATAGTGCACTCCAAAAACCAGCTATAGTGCTAGTTTCAGCTGCACATCTTCATTTATCCCGTGCGACAAAAGCATGAGTGATATGCACAGTGCAGTAAGTTGGTTGTGGGGCACAGAAATGTCAAAGGAATATCAAAATGTTCTGAGAGGGAGGAAATGTTAAAGCAGATGGGGGAGAGTTGGATGAAGAATCGGTTCGAAATCGACAAACTGGTTCGAGCACGCTGATGGCAGGGATAAGAATGCGCCGTCTCCATCTAGAGGTGTCAAGCTTGAAAAGGTCTTATTGCTTTCCCGGGCATTGTGTTCACAGACTGCTTCCCCGAATATTTTGTTCATCGCTTCTTTTACCGCCCATTTTTGATAAACTGATTTATTTTTAGGAGTACGAATAAAAGCTCACATCCGCGGCTGTCTTGACGAGCTTCTATATAACGGCTTCAATCAAACCATCGTCACCTGGTATAGGTGGATGCATCGCGATTCCTGCCGACAATATAGGTGCATTTCTCGCTCCTTTTTGATTTCATTCAATGATCAAAGTTTTTCGGGAATTTTCTATAAGATGTGTCAATCCTGCTTAAATCCCCGGACAAGGTTCCCGTTCCTTTAACTTGGCCAATAGATTTCATCCAATACGATGGAATATGGACCCAAGCGCATCTAACTTGGATCAGCTATAAAAAACTCTAATTCCTCAGACGTGCAGCTAGCAATTTTTCTAGTTGCCTTGACTAATCTAGACTGCCTGATGATCACTCTAGCGGCAGACCTAAGGGATTACGAATTCAGCAGTTCTTAAAGCAGAAATAAGCAGAAATCTTATCAGGAAAAAAAGAGCACAGTTCTGACAGCCTTCACTTCTTTTCTCACAAGGCTAAAAAATTCCTGCACGCATTTTTTAGGAATTTTTTGCAAAAAGATGTCACAGTTGTTATTGTGAATCTAAAAAAAACAAATGACTTGTTTTCAGAAAGCGAGAATTGTTCAAATTGCCGCCTGAGGTCAGTGATGATAGCTACATCACGGTATGCACGTGTTACGCTGACTACTGCAATGGGAAATCGTCAGGATCAAGCACCAAAACTGCCTCGAACTGCATATCTTTCTTTAGGCTTATACGTTTCCTTATCATTCTTCTCTCTGTTCAAAGGATATTTACGTCTCCTGTGGTATATTTTTCGATGTGGTCGTGACGCATGCTGAACAGTAGTTTTTATTCTCCGGTCGGAAAAATAGCTTCAGGCATTTAAATCGAGAAAAGCGGTATTGGTTCCAGTCAAATTAAGCTGCTGATTTTCAGGCGACCAAAATTTCATGCTGTAACGGGACATTTTTATGAATTCCCTGTTGAATGTCGCATTTTTTGCGCATTTATGGAGCGACTATTGATTCTCTTTTTGAATAAAAGTTAAAATAATAATCGAAGCTGAACTTTAACAGCCACATATGGGCAGTGAACTGTAAAGCTTTGGCATCCAGACTTGACTGTTCCCTGAAATCGCTTCCGCCAAAAATACCATTGACATGTTCCTAAGCGCAGCGCAGGCGTACTTGAGGACTGAATTAAAAATCTTTGCGTGGCACAGAGACAAAAGATCCTCGTGAAATTACAGCTCCCATTCTTGACTGATCCTAAAAATCGTTTTTGAGCCAACTTCAAATTTGACTCCTGGTACTCGTATGTGAGATGCTTTTAACTTTATGGGATAGCAAATGGAACGGACACATACTCTTAAAGTTATGGCTTCCTAACTTCTCAGATTACTAAGTGGAAAGTAGGTGGCAAAATTCGAACACACACATACATACATCACACATACTTACATACATCCATGTCTACATACGAACACACACACACACACACACACACACACACACACACAAACACACACACTCTTACGAGCGATCTCTCAGTATGTATTTCTGCGTTACATTAGTGGTACAAAAAGACAAAACTTTGAATGAGGCTTGCAGGAACGATAATGCGTTTTTACACTGAACTTGAAGCAATCTGGTGATTTACAGTATGAATGTTTGCTAATTTATAGTTTAGTATGCGCACTCATTTTGGTCTTCCCCTGTACGAGGGTGGAGAAGGGGGGGGGGGCGGCGGGAGAGGGATGTCGGCTGGTACGGCAGTGTTGCACTACGCATCATTCACGTCCCATAAGGTAAGAAATAGCAATATTTCCCATTCTGCAAATAACAACTCGCTGTGCCCATTTTCTATAAATGCATAAGCGGCAAACTGGGAGAACAATGATATATATATTCAAAGAAACACAGAAAAATCCACCGTAAAAATAGCACGCACAACCACAGATGGCAGCACAATATATTCGAATGTTCGGCAGCATACAGTACGTACAGAGTACAACCAGAATTCTCTTTGGAGTTTGTGTCCCTCAACCTCACGTTCTCACTGATGCACTGAAGGCGGCAAC